CGATTGCAGCATCCCTGCGGTCACATAATTGCAATCCAGGTGCTCGACGCCCAGTTCACAATTATTACATTACAGCGTCCTGCGGTCACATAATCACCATTTGCGACCTTCTTTGCCAACTACAAGCAAAGTCAATGGGGTAGCCGGCAGGAGATTGCAAATGGCGGCCATGTGACATCCTCAGTTAATAACCCGTGGTGATTTGCTTAATGATAGCAACTGGAAGAGCTGGAATTTCTGTTGCTAGGTGGCACCGTCAATTGACATTGCGTTTCATGACGGTGTTGCTTAGCGATGGAAATTCTGGTCCCAGTTGCCACTGTTAAGTGAGGACTACCTGCAATACCATATATATTTACTTAGTGGGAGATGACAAGAATGAGAGATCTATAGAGAGAGAACTCCAAACATTAAAGATCGTACGATTTGTATTGTAGTCATTACAAATCTGTGCTTGTATGTGCATTGCTTGAAATATCTTAATACCTGTTTGGAAGATAGAGTAATGATTTCCTCTCCTTGCTACTAAGTGATCAGACTGTCTGTGCAGTGAATGAGAACTTCACGAGCAGCTTTAGTACATAAGGGCACTGTTGACTGAAATAATTATTAGACCCAGTTCAAATTAAAGAAGGTTAAGGTAACAGGTCCCACTGATTTAAATATGTCTGCTTTAAGGATTGCAGTGTGTGGATCCAAACTATTGTCAACACAGAACAAACTATACTTTAAAAATCTAATTTCATTTTAACCCATTTAGTGTTTCAGCTACAACTTGATCCTGTCAGACATCATTTCTGTTTCTATTACAGTACTTCCTATGTCTTTTGTTCTCAGTAATGATACTCATATGTGTGACAAAGAGAACCTATGTCATTAATGAATATACAAATTAACTTGTGATGGTTGCCATATCGGAATTTTTCCTTCAGTGTGATTTGAACCCAAACACCCACTCTTTTTCTAACTGGTGCAGGAATTCATTCTTATGCTGGACTTCAGTGATGCTCAGCATCCCCTTCAAATCAGGGAAGCAAATCTTTAGCAGTGGTGGATACATTTGAACTTTTGAGAGTATGTCATGGATGTTCTCATAAAATAGCTTCATACACACACACAGACACAAACATATTATAAAAAGTCACCTTCTAGTGTGCCCTCTAGAGCTACCACACGAGGGATACAAAGATGGCAGTAAATAAACACAGAATATTCTCTTTGCTCCCATCTAGTGATCATTTGAATTTTACTAGTAGAGTTATAGCAGTATTTCTTACCAGATGCCAACCATCAAATTACCTTTTCTGGGCTAGCTAGCACATTTTCAAACAAAGACCTGCAGGCACCTGATTTTTTTTTTTTAATTTTCTAAAAATGTATATATGTCCTATGCCTTGAATTCTTTTTATAAATAAAGATTATGTTATAAACTGGAATTTTGCAGCATCCCAGCTTGTAATTTAAGTTTCAAAACTTAAAATATGAAATAAAATCTGATCTCAGGAAAGGTAACCTGGGAGGAACCAAGGAATGAGTCTATGGTGCCTATGAATACCACTTGGTCTACATTTGAAAGTGACTTGATTTGCAAGTGAGAAGACACAAGGACTGAGGTGAACACAGGTTTCTGTCTAGCTGCTAAGCTAGCATGAACTTAATGGTCCTGTGTATGAGTCCTGTGTATGGCACAAGGACTCATACACAGGGAGGTAATGGTCCTGTGTATGACACAAGGACTGAGGTGAACACAGGTTTCTGTCTAGCTGCTAAGCTAGCATGAACTTAATGGTCCTAGCATGAACGTAATGGTCCTGTGTGCATGGTGTACGTGCCCAGTTTTTCAAAATCCCAGAATGTTTTTACAACAATTTCAATTTTCATATTGAAAATTGTTCATATCTCAACCTAACAACTTTGAAGCTTTACAGAGCATCCAGGAACTAATCAAACACCTTAAAATATTTGCATGTGATGAAAAACTGAAAATTGTTAACATTAAATTTGCAGATACTTGAAGTAAAATGATAGTCCTTAAAAATGTAACCAAGAGCAGCATAATATAATTATTTCTGAAAATTATCCCCTTTAAATTGAGAATTATTAGTTGTGCCATTATGTGGCAAATCCTACGTCCTGCAGTTTGCAATGGTGTATTCAGATGACAGTTTTGGTAATGGGGGGGGGGAGCTAAAATAAATTGGAAAGTACTACTCCCAACGGGGCTTTCAGCAAGATATCCCTAGTGTGCTTTTTAGTATCCCTCAGTGGTACCTCTAATTTTTACTACAGGAAATTATACTGCAGTTGAGAAACTATAGGAATGCTCCTATCTGGAAAAGAGGAAGATAAATGCCCAAATATGCTTAGCTGGCTAAATAGCTTAAGCATCATTTTCAAATTGTGCTGGCTGTGCATTAGCAAGATGCAGTGGAATGTTTCAGGATTAATGGGAAGGCAGCTTTCCTCAGTTAGCCTTGTAAATTGTTATTTGCATAAGGAACCAGTAAACTTTACCATTGGCCACACTCATATAATTGTGGACTTGTGGAGTTGGAAGGGAACATAAGAATCATCTAGTCCAACTCTCTTCAGTGGGCAGATTAAACCAGTTAAGCTGTCCTTGATAGGGGGCTGATCAGTCTCTTCTTAAAAACCTCTGGAGAGGAAGAATCCACAACTCCATAGGTAGTTTGTTCCACTTCTGTACAGATATTATGGTCAGGAAGTTTTTCCTTACACTTGAATGAATCCTTGGTAGCTGCTACTTATACCCATTATTTCTGATCCTACTTTCTGTGGCAGCAGAAAATAGTTTCTGACCATCTTCTTTATGGCACCCTTTTATGTAACTGAGCGTTAATATCACGTCTCTCCTCAGTCTTTTCTCCAGACTGATTATCCCAAGTTCCTTCAGCCTGCCCCATAGGGCATGGTCTTAAGTCTCTCTATCTTTGTCGCCCTCCTCTGAATTTGTTCTAACCTGTTAATATCCTTCTTTAAATATGGTATCCAGAATCACACACAATATTCCAGGTGTGATCTCACCAGTTCAGTGTTAGAGGGGAGCAAAGGCTTTATGTGCCTTTGACACAATGGTGCTTCTGATGCAATCTAGGAATGTGTTAACCCCTTGAAGCAGCTGTCTCCCACTGTTGAACTTGTAGTCATGACCATACTCAGGTTCTCCAATGTAGTGCTTCCAAGCCATGGATCTTTCATCTTTAATGTGTGCCACACATATTTATATTTATATTTATATATGTGGGTGTGTGTGTGTTTATATATTTATATTTATTTTTTTTCTTCCTGAATTTAATACCTTAATTTCTCCCTGTTGAAGGACATCTTGTTCATCTCACCCAGTCTTTCAACCTGTTCATATTAGTTTGCAGTCTTGGTGTTGGCCAGACCTGACAATTCTGTGTCATCCATAATTTGATAGGCAGCCCATCAGTCCTGTTATCCAGGTCATTAATAAAAACATTGGGTAATACTCACCTCAGTACAGATACCTATGGAGCCCCACTGGTTAGTGCTGTCCAATTCATTAATGCTGACTTTAACCAGCCGGTTATGTACCTACCTTACTGTACTACCCTCTAAACCAAACTTTAACAGCTTGTCAAGAAGAATATTGTGGAGTCTAGTCAGAAGTTTTGCTGAAATTGAGGTGGATTATATCCATAACATTCCCATTGTCTACTAAAGTAGTTACTGTATCAAAGAAGACAAGATCTGCCTCACTTGGCCTATTTTTGATAAAGCCATGCTAACTCTTAGCAATGACAACATTGTTTTCAAGATGCTTACAAATAGCCTGCTGCATTATCTGCTAGGTACTGATGTTCAATACCTCTTTTTAAAAATTTCTTAAGACAAGGGAACCACATTTGCTTTTCTCCATTTCTCTGCCACCTCTTCAGTTCTTCAGAAATCCTCAAAGATAAATGACAGAGCTCCCAACAGCTCTTTTACCAGTCCTTTTAGTATTCCAGGATGTACTTCATCAAGGTCTGGGGATTTGAAGGAATTCAGATTAGCTGGAAGGCATTCAAATTAGCTACCACATTCTTATCTGTGCCCTCCCCTGTTGCGTTTCTTCCCAGTCTGTGCTGCTCCAGTTGCTATAACCTTTGGATTTACAGAGAGAGACAAAATAGGAGTTGAGTTCCTTTGCTTTCTGTTGATCATCTGTTAAAATGTCTCCATCTGGAATAAGCAGTGAAACCTCCTTTGTCTTATTCTTGCTGTTGACATTTTTTAAGAAACCCTTCTTCCTGGGTTGTGTCTCTTGCTGGCCTTAACTCATTTTCTATCTTTGCCTTCTGACTTCATCCCTACATTTCTCAGCAACTACTTTGTAGATTTCCTTGGTTGTTAGCCCTTCCTTCCATTTCCAATAAGCATCCTTATTTAGTCTCATCTCTGTCATGAGATGCTTGTTCAACTGCGTGGCTTTTTTTATGTGCCTTCTAGTTTTCTTCCTCACTGTATTGTTGAGACTGCCCTATCTTTAATATCCTTTTCAAAAAGTACCAGCTAGCTACAGTGCCTTTGCCTTCAAGGTTTTATTCCCATGTAATCTTCCTTACTATTTCTGTTATCAGCAAAATTGTGATTTTCAGTAATGCATGTTCTGCCTGCCAATCAATCAATAAGCAAATAAGTGTTAGTTTTAAAGAAGTGTGAGCATTATGGAGCCCTCATCTGTAGTACTTTGTAGCAAACTGTTTGCAGCTCCTCATTAGCTCACGTTTATGATGCAAGATAGTTTAATTTGGGCCTGATTTTTTTTCCAAATTAAGGATAGGAGAATTTGTACTTTGCACTCGCAGAGGCGGTTTTACAGACACTTTCACTCCCACCCATAACTCCCCATTATCAAAATCACTTGTTTTATACTGATCTGGAGGGAAAATAGATTGCATACCCCACAAAGGAGGAAGAGAGTCAAGCGACCACCCTCGCTTTATTTGTCATAGAGGCAGATCCACATTTTACAAGATGTAGTATGATTCTCGGTTATTCGGAAAAATACAATGCAGCTGTTTCTTTGTATATCAATTGTAACACTGAAGAAAATGTATGGGATCGTTCTTAATAATCCACTGTTTCTCCCCCTTGAAACAGGTCAGAACATTAAAGAGAGAAGATTTGTGGAAGCTGTCAATGTAAAAGAATACCAGTATGAATCTGGAGCCATTCCAACAGAGTGGGAAGGTAATACCTTATTGGGACTGCTGGATAAAAGCATGACCTACTGGCTTCCGCCTCTCCCAGGTTGCATTGAAAAGACTCAAGAGAACCCTTACTTTAAGAATTCTTAAGAGGGCATGACTTCGTCTCCCTTGACATTCATCTCTCCAGTTTGCCCAGACATTATTTTCTCTTTTACAGTGCTGTTCCATTTTAATAGACAGAAAAAAACAGAAAAATGGAACTTGCAGATTGGCATGGACTTGATCTGCAGTCTCAGATCTATCAGTCTAGATTCAAAACTCAGTTCTAAAAGTATTGACTTTAAGGATGCTTTAAAACAAACTGGGCAAATTAATGCAATGTCTGAAAGCTGGATAGAAAAATGCAAGACTCAGCTCTGAATGCATTTTGAAGTAAGAAAAACAGGTTTGATCGAATGAGCCTTGACAAGAATGGATATGAGGTAAACATCTTTTTGGATCGTTTCCCAAAGAATAGGATACGTTTGCAAATCTAGGAAATTTATTATTTCGGAAATAAACCATGTGTGGCAAGATATACTTTTAGTTGTATTTGCATTTTTAACACAACACTTAATCATCCTTATAATTACTATAATGTTTTCTCCCCTTTGTGATTATTGTGGCACTGAATTGGAAGGATTTGTGAAGACCATAGAAATAAAAAGTGTTATGAATAAGCTGTAGTTTCTTTTTTTCTTTAAGCACAGCGCCTTTCAGGGAATCCAAAGAAAATGTTCAGAGTGCTTTGTTTTCTCATCCATTATTTAGGCAAAGGAGGTGTGTAATGTATTTTTGTTTGTGACAAAAAGAACAGATAAGAACCCAGGTGCTTAAATAGGAAGAGCAACATTAACTGCATTAACTGGATTTTTTAGTTAACATTTTAACTGCTGAAAGTTTCAGTTTGGAGGCTGTGATGGAAAAAGTGAAGGCCACATTCTGCTTTTTCTGTAAGAGAAGAAAGAGTTGGGTTTTAATAGCAGCATTTATGTAATTTTATATTCAAAACATCATTTCAGTACATGTATCAGTCCCAATTAATGAAGATAGTTGTCCCACTTTTAAAAAAGGCTTCTCTATATGAAGCTCTGGGAATTTACCTTTTCCTGTTTTTGCTAATGTGGGGTGTCCTTTGTTAACAGTTTATACATATCACAGAGATTCATCTTTTTGCATTTCAGGAACATGTGGTTGCACATATTTGTGGTTGAAGTTCCTTGTTAATTTTTGTGCATTTAGTGCTGTAAGTATCTTGAGAATTAAATGAACAGAAAAGCAGGCTGTAAATGGAAGAAATAATTTTATATAGGGGTAGGCATATTTCATACCTAGTGCAGACACATGTGGGCACAAGCAAAAATTTTTGCAAGCATCCCCTTCAAGTGATTACTTTAGAAGACTTTTCCCAAACTTAATTACTGTAGGAGAAAGAAGGGAGACCTTTTAAGCAGCATTTAATTCATGGGCCAGAGGATTCCCATTAATAAGTAAGTAAGTAAGTTTATTGCTGTAGCCACAAGTCATAACATATAACATACCATAAAATACAATAAAATAACAGTAGAATAGTAAGATTCTCATTAGTAGTTCACAGATTAGACCTGATACAGAAAGCATGGGCTTCTGTGTTTATCAGAATGGAGTAACACTTACAACCTCTTTTACAGATTTCTTCATGCTCATTTTTCCTAATGAAGCTTGTAATAGAATACTATTAAAAACTGTTTTCCCTCCCTTTGTTCATATTCTGTTAATATGAACAAAAAATACATTTAAACAGTAAGATTACATTGCTGCTCATACATAGCAAGACATTCTTGATAAATAATTGTCAAATACGGTACTGAATTCTTCAAAGACTGTGGGTTTTTTTTTCATTAGGGGTATTAGATAAAATCTTTCTGCTTGGGGGAAACAGAAATTAATATAGTAGGATGTTTACTTCAATTGATTTTTTAAAAATTTCCTTTGCCTATGAGTTTAAACATCTTTGTGCTATAAAACGTGGGTATATTTTACTTACTTGTTTTTTCCCTCCATGGCTTAATAGTTCATGACTTCAGTAGCAGCAGATCTTTTGCTCTGTCATCAGACCTTTCAAGAGTAAGCTGATGATTTTTGCCCAACTCCCACAAAGGGAACTTCATGCAAATCAGAAGTTTGAACATGAGTGCTCCTTGTTCAGATCAGGAACATAACAACAGAGGATTAAAGAATGCTTTTATTTACTTGGCCTAGGTTTGTTTTTAAGAAAGGAAACAATGTCCTTTGGCAAGGCAGTATATTTTTGGTAGAGCGAATGGTCATAACCTTTACAGTTTTTGATTCTCAGTGGGCACTGATTATATCTGAAGGCAGAAGGTGCTATTTCCATTTTCCATATCATTAGTCTTCATGCAAAATACAGTCATTTTCAGTGCCTTTGGAGATGTAAGCGTTTGTGCTTCTCATGCTGCATTTTACAGCCTGTGTGTTCAAGTTGGTCTTTCTTTGTTTAATGGGTAACATTTAGTGATTAATGGGAGTTTTAATTTGCATGCCCACTTTTACGCTTATTACAATGCGTTATATGCCACTAAGAGTCTTAAAGTTCAGTGAAAATCTCATGCATACTAATGAGAATGGAGATGAGCACTGAAATGAAAGAATGTCAAGGTCTCAAGATATGAAATGTCCAGTTTATCTTGCTACATTCTACTCAGACAATTGTAGCATTATCACGAACACAGCCTGCAGATAGTGCTGTACCGTATTTATAATTAATGACAACTGTTTAATTAGATGATTTGAATTGCAGTGGATTTACAAAATCTTGGAAGGGAACATTGCAAAATTGGACTCTGTCCATATGTTTCTACACTTTCTTTGTCCATTTTTGGGGGGGGGATGCTGTTCTATGCGGTCCTGTTCCACATAGAAATGGTTTTGGCTGAGGTTCCATGAAAGTGCTTTGTTTTGTTAGGATAGAACTTAAAAAGTTTTTTTCTAAAAACAGATGACACATTGGCTATTTTTTAAAATTTGAAGAACAAGAAACACTTCTACTAACAATTGGGTCTGCTTTCTTTTCATCATTCTGAGATTTCTTGTACTATTCACATTACAGTAGCAAAGATTATTTGAGAATTACTAACTCCCAGTAAAATCATTGGTTTTATTCATGGTGGGGTGGGGAATTTATTATTTTAGTGAGTTGTATAGAATGGTGATGAGTGCACCGTTAGAAGACCCAAAAGAACAGGTTAGGGATAGTTCATGGAGAAAATCTATCTGTGTGGTTGCTAGAAGTCAAAAATGACTTGATGGACATAAACAATCAATAGTAGCAATGTTTGAGTATATTGAGCTTATATATATATATAGAGAGAGAGAGAGAGAGAGAGAAATATTATGTTTTTGAAGAATAAGGAAGCAAAGAAATCTGTGAGGTTGCTTCTTCTTGTAATGAAATTGCATTATTACTCATTTTTAGGATCACTCACAGCTGAGTGTGAAAGACATGTGAATATGAATATCAGAGGCATCAAGAGTAAAAATAATAATCTGTATTGCTCTGGTATTGTGTCTAGTATGAAAAACGTTTATGTATGGCCACTTCATTTCATTGTCTTCTTTTATGGTGATAATCTTCAGTCTTACTGTCTCTTTGTCAGCAGAAATACAGTTTGTGGGGACAAGAAAGAAGATGGTGATACGGTGTCTAAACCATAGAATATTCTATTGGAGGGGTTTATTGCGAATTGTTTGCTTTCTTTTAAATAAGCTTCAAAGTCCATTTTATTCAGATTGGCATTTTTAGTTGGAATAAATTAAAATAATCAACTTGGATTAATAAACTACAGTTTAATAATTTTTAAAAATGGAAGAGGATTATGCATATTAATTTGTCTTACATAGGTCTACTTCAATACTTCAATCCTTAAGCAACTTAAGAAAACATAGCTTCTTGGTGTATTTAGAATTGGATATTGTGGTTTAAAAAGGCTGGGTTAGAAACAAACTAATGCATATTTATTAATTCAATTTATATTCAGCCTTTCAATTAAAGCAGCTTGAGCTTTAAAGCAAAAGAAAGAAAGAAAGAAAGAAATGAAAATATGCACGCCTACAAAGATGTGCAGTGTTCAATTTCAGAGTGGGCACAGATGCTTTGAATCTGGCATGGGCACTTCACTGTACCTGTCAACAATTGCTTGAGTTACATAAACTTTTAAAAAACTAAAACAGATGTTTTCCTAAGCCTATATAGCTACTATGTGATCCTAGGAATAGGCACAACTTCTTTAAAAAGCTGCTGACAGGTGTCATGAAGGTCCCAGTGCCTGAGCCTGTTTGAATCCAGATACTGTATGCATTACAGGAAGGAAATAAGGAAAAAGAAAAGAAGTACAACTCAGTGTGACTTACTCCAATACTATTCACTATATTTCTCTATACCTTTCTGTCCTTACAAACTATCCTTGTTTCCACTAAGTCCATACATCACTTCAGACATTGCTTTCTCACCACTTTTTCAGGAGTCATCCAGCCACAGTGTTTCCTGTCTTCCCCTTCCTCTTGACTCATTCACATTTCTTTCCTGTGTTTCTTTTTTGAATCAGTTCTCATTCATTCTGTCTGTATGACCAAACCACCTCAGTGTACTACGTTCATAGTGGTCACTCACTTTTCTGTCCAACTCATCCCTATTCATTCTTGACCCTATTTCTTCTTGTTTTATCACACATGCTTCTTAAGAAATCCGTTCCCACAGCATTCATCTTTAATGTTTATTCTGACAATGCCCAGTTCTCATTTCCCTACGTCAAAGTGGACAGAAATGCATTCTTGTACACAACCATTTTCACTTCTATTGACCAAGATTCATTCCTTGCAACAGACTACATTTTCCCATCTACCTTTGTTGGAAATTACATCTTCTCTTTGTACCAATGAGCCTTTTTTCCCACTAGATGAGAGACAAATGAGGGAAAGAATTTTGCCTTTTTGCCCAAATGATGAGAGACAAGTGAGGGAAAGAATTTTCACACATTGTCTCTGGCCCTATTGTTAGTTAAATTCACTCTCTCACTTCCTCAATCACAGTTTCCTTCTGTGCTTTCACTTTTGGGCTCATTTCTGGGAGGAGGGAAAAATAACTCTTAGGGGGCTTCTTGGATTCCAGCACCTTCTCCAGCTGTCCTTGTTGACATCTCGCCTGTTCTCAAAAAAACTGCCGTTTTTTCCACCAGCCTGCTTCCATTCTATTTGGTCTCCAGTTGCAGGTTCCTCTTCTTTGATACACACAATATCATCAGCCCATCCCATACAAAAACAACTCCAGGAGTGTTCAGCAATCTCATCCTCCATAACTTCATGCTAATGTACTTTTATACATTTACAGCTAGAAGGCAGGTGTTTTAATTATGCCTGAAGCTTCTTGGGGTCTTTGTGACACTTATCCTAATTATGGTCCACAGGAAAAAGCCTTTAACCTTGAGATCATTGTATTACCCCAAGTCCATCAGTCTACACTGGTCTAAGCCCATACTTTGCATCCAAGACAGCTATATTGTAGACATTAGTTTTCTCAGCAGCTTAATTACTCTGCATTCTTTCAGTATTCAGCTTATGTTCAGGAGCAAATCCTGTAACATGAACTTCTGCTGAATTCAGATTCCCAATAATATTCCCAGCAGAATGTATATATCTTAAAATTTCCCATCCGTTTATACATATTTAGTACATATTCTACCAAGGTACACAAATTTATCTACTTGCCCTAATTTTCCATCATTATGCAGGTATTTATTCTATTTTCCCTGTCAAACATAAGCACTTTGATCTTTGATATATTAATTTTCAGATCCATACGCCTCAGTGTATTCACTACAGATCATTCAGGTTCAAACAGTATGCCATCATCTGCATACAAAAGTATACACACATTCATATACCCAACCAACATACCCCAAAAGTCACCACTAATATTTATTTATATACAGATATATTAAACAGATATCATACATCCTTGTTTTATTCCTTGCTGAGTGTTGAACTATTTGCTATGCATTCCATTTATTCTCTTGCATATCTTCTGCCAGATACAGCATATTGCATTTAGCAAATTTCAACTTCTTATTCACACAGAATGTTCCATAATTCAAACCTGTTTAACTTAACATATGTTTTATCTAAATCAATAAACATACAATAAACTTCCTCATGTTCATAGATTTGTCACTGACTGACCTGCAGAAAAACAAAAATCTGGTCTGTACATCCCCTGCCCAGCAAAAAGATATTCCACAGATAATTGTTTTATAATATTGTGGTTATTTAAAAGTTAGGATTATCTTTTAATATAGAGATGTTTTACTCTATAAGAAGGATATTTCAGAGAAAGACAGGATACAGATGTTGAACTAAAATTATATATGGGATAAACACAATTATTTTGGAATGAGTGGCCATGCAGGTGGCCTTCAACTTATGGCCATTCGTTTAATGACCGTTCAAAGTTATGACAGCACTAAAATGACTTATGACCGTTCCTCACACTTACAACCATCACAGTGTCCTCACAGTCATGTGATCAAAATTTGGGAGCTTGGCAACCAGCATGTATTTATGACGGTTGCAGTAACCCGGGGTCACATGATCTCCATTTGCAACCTTCCCGGGGACTTCCAATAAGCAAAGTCAGTGGTGAAACTGGATTCACTTAATGACTACATGAATCACTTAACAACCATGGTGATTCACTTAACAAGCACTGCCAAAAAGGTCACAAAATCAGGCATGACTCCCTTGACGACCGCATCGCTTAACAACAGAGGTTCCAGTCCCAATTGTGGTCATAAGTTGAGGACTACCTATAATAAATCTAATAGATGATGATGATGTTATATTTTCGTCAATATATCTTTAAGACTGTAAAAAAGCAAGGAGGAGTCAAGAGGTGGGGACAGGAATAGTTAAATGTTTGGAAAGTATGATTAAAAAAAAGAAGTAGTCAACACTGTCTAAAAGTCTATTAATAGTTTTGCTGTAACCTCAGTTATACCTATGATCTGTTAAGCAAATTCATGTACATCAGTCTTAATCTTAGGAAAGCAAAAAACATCTGTTTGCTGTTTAACTGAAGGTTGAGGCGTACTTTCCAGAATAATCCTGAAATGAAAAGATAGAGTTAATCCCTTCCATTAGAGCCCAGTTCTATTGTCTTGAGTAGAAGAGGCAGGCTCAGTTTAGCAATCTGTTCATCACCAAGGCATGTGTAAACAGATTCATGTTGTGTGCCAGTTGCACCCGTTCCTAGATCAGAGGGACCTACTCACAGTCACTCATGCCCTAGTCACCTCCCGTTTGGATTTCTGTAATGCACTCCACATGGGGCTACCCTGAAGAGTATCCGGAAGCTTCAGCTAGTGCAAAATGCAGCGGGGCAGGCAGTTATGTGTGCCCCAGGGCGGTACATGTTACACCTCTGCTCCATGAGCTCCATTGGTTGCCAGTTTGCTTCCGGGTCCAATTCAAGGTGCTGGTTTTGACCTTTAAAGCCCTTCATGGAATGGGACCGGGTTATCTGAGGGACCGCCTCTCCCTGATTACATCTGCCTGTCCCATCAGGTCTGGCAGAGAAGATGTGCTGCAGGTCCCGTCTGCCAGAGAATTACATTTGGCAGGTCCCAGGAGGCAGGCCTTCTCTGCTGTGGCACCCCCTTGTGGAATTTTCTCCCCCCGGAAGTAAGATTAGCTCCACCCCTTTCAAT